AATAAATATTTGGTTTGGTTTATTGTGAATAAATATTTGGTTTGGTTTATTAAGAATAAATGTTGTTTAGTCTATTTAGTCTATTTAGTCTATCTAGTCTATTCAGTCTATTTAGTCTATTTAGTCTATTTATTCTATTTATTCTATTACGTCTATTACGTCTATTACGTCTATTACGTCGATTACGTCTATTTAGTCTATTTAGTCCATTTAGTCTATTCAGTCTATTTAGTCTATTTAGTCTATTTAGTTATTTTAGTCTATTTAGTCTATTTAGTTACCAATTTTGTATTCTAAATTTACTAGAAATATATTTTCCTAATTTACAAACTTTAACCATGCGAGTATCTTGGCAACCCGTTTGACCAATCTAAAAATCAATTAATCAAAGAAATAAACCATAAATCAATTGATAAAGCCAGTGATATATTTACGGAAACTATGCTTGATGATTAAATGAAAACGGCTTGATTAGACAGGGAACATGCCAAACCATTTATTATATCAATAGATTAATAACAACACAGATAGAACAGTAGACGTCGTCTTTTCAAGATTTTGGGTGTGCTTCGTTCACAATAACCCTGAGGCAGAGGTCCAAAGGAGTTAGGCTTCTGCTCTCCCTCTGTCTTGTAATTCACCGCCGCATGCGCGTAATTCATTTGGACTGCTGCCTTAGGGTTATTGTGAACTAAAACTCCTAAATCTTAAAAGGACGACATCCTGTGTTCTATCTGTATTTTNACGTTCCCGTTTTTAAGAATAATAATAATTTTAATAATAACAATAATCTAGGTGTTCTACACTGCTGAGGTCCCTGGCATACCTAATTTCTCTCCTCTGTATGACAAGCGTCCTAATGATAAACTGGTGAGTACACACTAAACAGTTTCTTCACTAGTCTTTCTGCATGCATTTCAACCTTCCAGAGAGAGAAACAACTCTCTTCCTTTAGCGCTAAAACGGTTAGTTTCCTCTACTATGCTGAATACCTCTTCAACAAGTTTTGTAATTATATATATACACAAAAAGGTTTGCTTTTACGACGAATATTTGAATAAACATTAACTAAACTATTTGCAATTTAAGTGTCAGGATAATTTTTAAAGAAACTTGAGCTGTACAATTTTAAAGAATTTAGGGAGAATAGGAACATGTACGCAATTTTAAATATGCAATCCTTGAATACGTATCTCAGTTTTTAAACATGTCTTTTAATCAGGTCAAAATAGAAATTAGAACCCGAATTAGTTTAAAAACGAGAAGTATTTGAACTGCGTCGAAAATTTGAACAACTTCTCGTCTCCCAACGATTTACTTTTTAAAACTAAAGAACCAACGTACATGAACCTTATCCTCCTTTCCTTCTTTAAAGGGAGTGTCTGGCTGGACATGGTAGTTGAACTGAGAAAAACCGATTCTCAAAATAATATCTCTAGAGTGGATGATTCAGGATGATTTTAAAGATTAAATTTGCACTTTTGCTGAACAAATATGTACTGTAAATATGTCTGATATGTCTCAAATGAATCCTGAAAAATGTCTCTCTATAGCTGTATTCTCAGCTATACTACCATGTCTAGCCAGACACTCCCTTTACTAGTAAAACTAACCAACCTCATGTAGCATTATGTCACCCGCCGAGCTTCGGAGCCGGAGTTAATGTCCGCCCCCAAGCCTGTCATGGTAAAACCTGACTCCATCCCTGCCCTGGAGCCTCCCAGCAGCCTTGAGGCGGAGTCCGATCAGAACGTAGCTGAGTCCAGATATGAGAATATGCAGGTATCCTACAAGAAACCTCCTCATAGACCTAATAAACCCCGGCCTAGGCGTAAAGGTCCGAGTGTAGATGTGGTGCACCAGGAAACTAACAGGAGAAGTGGGGATTCAACTTACAAGGAAACCTTCATTATTCATTGATTGAAACTGTTAACTGTAACCTTGTATTTCGTAACTAACTTGAAATTATTAATGTTCTACAGACTGCAAAAAACATACACGCAAAGGTGTATTTTATGCTGTGACCACGGTTCGTAAAGTGGGATTTTATATTTTTAAAATTTAATCACATGCATCAAGGAAGTATCTTATTAAAGCACATTGGATTAATTGTATCAGACATTCTATTTCAAAAACTATATGTTTTCGCTACACATTTTTTGTGATATACAATGTGCATGTGAGATTGAATGTTCCCTGATAGCTGATAAATGAAAATGCCGAATTTTAACAATGGTTTTAGTGCTTTTTAAACAAAGGATCATCAGAAAAAAATTTTGAAACAATTAAATATTTCTTTTTGGGTTTAACAAGTTATTCAAAGTTTTAAAAACAAGCTTCCAAAGTTACAAAGTATGTTTCTTTTAACATTCATCATCTTGGCTCACCCAAACAATTACGAACTAATCTTATTTATGATTTTTCAATCATATTTATCTTTTAAGTTTTAATTTTAGCAAAATTCTAGGAATAATAAAATGATAGCAGCTGCAACTATTTGACATTTCCACTTTCTTCCTGCTGTTTGTGCATCATCCATCATGTTCGGATTTTGTGACTAGCTTCTTGGGGACTTTAACTTTTGTTGACTTTAATGAATTGGTTGAAGGTATACGACCCCCGTGCTCCACCAGACTCTATCAGTACAACCCCCAGGGTGTATCCAGTACCCCTGGAGTTTCTGAACCAGATCCCGGGATCCAAACCAAACCTGGAGTTTCTAAACCAAATACCTGGCTCCAAACCAAACCTTAACTTCATTCCCTCATCACAGATCGAAAAGGAAAAAAGCAATTTTAAAAAATTTCAATTAATATAATAAATTAATGGGGGGGGGGGGATAGGAAGGGGCTCAGACCATTACCCCCCCCCCTTACAAAATTAATACTGGAGAAAAAAGAAAAACAATATAGGTTCGGTACGTAGGCATTAAAAAAATAATATTTTTCATCTTTTTCCTTAATAACATTTATATCAACTACTTTTGGCGATTTTCTCAACATTGCGAACATTGCTTTGGTTGTACAAGGTTGTGAACGGGATCCCAACATTGGTCCATCATGATTCACATTTTACTGCTGAGGAAATTTAAACCAACTGAGCACACTTTTAGATTCATACTCACTTTACTAACATTATAAATAATCTAGAATAATTAAAAAAAAATTCATGGTAAAAAACTAATTGCTTGATATACATTGAGGAATTCATCACTCGACTCTAACTCTAATTTTCTAATATAATGTTGCAAAGATATAGGAAGTAGATACTTAGAAATCAGAATTTTTAAACGATCAAATTCCAAGATATTTTGAACAAGCCTAATTAAAAACTCAATTCAGAATGTTTTGTATCTTTGTCTTTTTTACGAATCTGTAGATAAGCCTCATTCATCAAATTCTTTCTGAGTGCACTTAGACGAGTTTTTTTTTTATCCCGTATTCTTTTATTGAGAATAAATATTTAGTTTGGCTTATTGAGAATAAATATTTGGTTTGGTTTATTGAAAATAAATATTTTGTATGGTTTATTGAGAACAAAATATTTTGTTTGGTTTATTGAGGATGAATATTTGGTTTGGTTTATTGAGAATAAATATTTGGTTTGGTTTTTTGAGAATAAATATTTGGTTTGGTTTATTAAGAATAAATATTTGGTTTGGTTTATTGTGAATAAATATTTGGTTTGGTTTATTAAGAATAAATATTTGGTTTGGTTTATTGTGAATGAATATTTGGTTTGGTTTATTAAAAAAAAATTGGTTTGGTTTATTGTGAATAAATATTTTGTTTGGTTTATTAAGAATAATATTTGGTTTGGTTTACTGAGAATAAATATTCGGTTTGGTTTATTAAAAATATATATTTGGGTTGGGTCATTAAAAATAAATATTTGGTTTGGTTTATTGTGAATAAATATTTGGTTTGGTTTATTAAAAATAAATATTTGGTTTGGTTTATTGTGAATAAATATTTGGTTTGGTTTATTGTAAATAAATATTTGGTTTGGTTTACTGAGAATAAATATTTGGTTTGGTTTATTGTGAATAAATATTTGGTTTGGTTTGCAGGATAATTCTGATATTCCTGGACCTCCCTACGCTCAGTATTTACAAGAACCAGTTCTCCCGCCTGTGACACCTAAGGAAAAATTTTCTTTGTTTTTGATTTAATCTTTTCTCGTTTTTTGTTTTTATCTTGACAAGAAAGGTTAAGGAATTCCCTTAAAGCATCCAAGTCATCCAAGCAAAGACAAGAATAGGTTAAGATAAATCGAAAGAGATTGAAAAACCCTACATGAATGGTAGCAATCTGTGTGGAAAATCATTTTAATTTTCAAGTTCAACTTTTAATTTTGCATTTTCCGAAATTTCGTTGTAAGTTTGCGAAATACGAACGAGAATTTTCGCATTTTTCCGCGAAACGTTTCATTCGCTGAAAACCCTAGTCATGTGTTTAGATCTTCCAATGTTTCTGTAGCAGAAATCCGCAAGTGACAAATATAGAAAACCTGAAATTGAAAATAATCAATTTTCAAAGTTACAAAGATCAATATCTTATTCAGTCTTTGGTCACTCCATTATGGACAACGTTGTGAATAGAATATGCAACTAAATCACATTAATTCCAAAGTCTTTGTAAGAAAGTACGTGGAAAAAAGGTTTCTAGAAAAAAAACTTGAAATAAAAAATTGGGTAAAAAAGCCTCAAATTTCTGAAGTCCTAGGACAAAATGTCACTGGAAAAAAGTCCTGAGGGCTGCAAATAAAGTCTCAGGAAATAAGATCACAGGAAGAAAAAAAAGTCTTGGGAAAATGGGGTCAAGTCTGAGACGTTTTCATAAAACTGACTTTTCTTCTTTGCCTTTTCCCTTTTTTCCATAGTTGTAAACATCTTTTGTTTCCATTTTTTTTCCGGAGACTTTTTGTTTAAAATCATACTGGAACCAGAAAAAATTCTAGAAAATAAAGTCTCAAAATGGTAAGACTTTATTTCCAGAGATTTTCTATTTCAAATGACTTTTTTTCACAGGACTTTTTTGTGCCAGAGTTTAGTATTTTATTTCCGAAAACTTTTTTTTCAGAGAACTTTTTTGGCGGTTACCGATTCGTATGGTATATGTTCTGTTTTGCCTTATGTGTACTGTACAGAACGCTGTAGATGCTTAAAAGTCGGTCTAATACTTGAAATGAAGCGGAGATTACAGTTCTATAAATGGAGGGCCGGTCACAGCTCCTTATAAAATTGGTCTGATCGATTGTTAGCAGTTTGATTTTAGTTAACCGTCTATTTTACTGGAAAATTTGATATGAGACAATTTAGAAACTGCATATTTTTAAATAAATAAACAAATTTTGAACGTAAAAGGTAATATATCGAGATGAATACCCAAGCCCTAAGCCGAAGCTAGAATCTGCCTACCCTACCCAGAGCCTAGGCCTACCCCCGGCATATACTCCACAAGCCAAGGGCCTAGCGCCTCCGTACCCTCCTATACCCTACCATGATTCTAGGCTTACATCACCCAGGCAAACAATGAACTAATTCTTCTTATTCTTAATTTATTCTGAATTCTATTGCAAAATGTTATGATCTTCAACTCAGCATATGAAAGTACAGGGTGTCTAAAAACATGGGAATTCAGTGACGAATTGGATATCGTCTTTGTTATGAATTAGCATTGTAATACCTAATTTCAAAAGCCATAATATTATTATGTCTGCTAGAATTTATTTTATGAAAAGGTAAAAGACTGTAAAGATGTATCTATAATGTCTCTGCAAGATGAACAGTGAAGACGGACAAGTTTGTATGCTGCAATTTTCTTGTTTTACTAAGTACACCCTTATGCAGTCAAAACATAAACAAACAAAATACGAAACTCTTACAAATTACAGCTTTCTCAGTAGGTATCACTATACTAAATCAAAGAATTATTTAAAAAGACGATATCGAATTCGTCACTGAATTCCCATGTTTATTGGGACACCCTGTATATAATCTTGTAAAATACATCAGACCGAAAACTGGAACCAGGTTTTAAGTAGATTTCATTCTTTAGATTTTTCTGAAAAAATTAAAAACTTTTCTTTACTCGGCAAAATGTTTACGAATTGACACATGTAAATGTTTGATAACCTAAGCGCAAGATTATGCAACAAAGCGTCCCATATAATATTGGATTAATTCTAAGCTTTAACGTCGAAATACGCACATAACAATTCGAAACCCTATTATTTTCTACATAACAATTTTTTACTAGATTTTTTTAAACGATTCATTGTTTTAAAAAAGATTTCCGATTAGTCCCAAAAATCGCAATTCAGAGCTATAAAGAATCTAATATAATATGGGACACCCTGTATGTTGAAACTTGTATCTTCTCAACACGTATACATTATACAATAAAGCAAACTTTTTAGAGAATAAAACCATTGAAGTGAATACACACTTACTTTGTATTATATTAATTTTACATAGTTAAACAATTATTTGAAGAATTTTTAAAAATCTGTTTTAATGGATGGCCCAGTCAGCCATGTATTCTGATTATAGAGTTCATATTTTCCTCTGTAGAACTGTTAGTGTGAGTACACCTGGGTCATCAGGAGCACTTAACCTAGGCAGTACAGTACAGCCCGGTAGTACAGTACGTCAAGCAGAAGACTCATCAAGTGACAAAGCACTACGTTACATAGAACCTCCACAACAGGTGTTGTATTATTTACTACTTTTTTCAATGCATACTGTTCACTGTACACTGTACACTGTACACTGTGCACTGTACACTTTACACTGTACACTGTACACTGTGCTGGATTTATATAGATTTGATTTACCTTTGACGTATAAATTCGTAAAAAAAACATCCTGAAAAAGTTTTGTGCTTAAAAAAACACATTTTGAGATGTTTAAAAATTTGATCAACACACCTTTCTTTAAATCCTTAATTGTAGCTTTTCATTTTCATTGATACATTTTTTTACATGTTTCGTAATGTTAAGAATTTTTTTTGTCTGTGTAAAGCAAGTACCATATGCTAGTTTTTTGCCTGATAGGAACAAAAATTTGCCCAAAAATTTTGCATGGTCAGATTTCAACCCGTTGGTTTGGAGTGCATGTAATCTTTATATTGCTCTGATACCAGGAATATCAGCGCAGAGATACTGGAGCAAACTGGTCATGGTTGGGTCTTCAATCATCACAACAACTATTTGAAAAATCTGACTTTGATGAATATTCAGCTCCGAAAAGAGCGGGGGTAATTTTTTTGCCAATTTTACAGATTAGAATATAATTCAGTGGAGGGGAACACATATACACGGATATATTTTCTCTTAGGGCACAAGACAAGTTGTTAGGTTTAATAAAATCAGTTTTAAAAGCTTATAATAAATCGGTTTACTAATCAAATTTTACTGGAAGTGTGTGCCTTAATTAAACTATTTTAGCATAAATTCATTTGATTCTAAATCATTTAATAAATGAATAAATAATTGGTATAATTTTTAAATAAATTTCTCATATTTTACATATTTATATATGCATATTCCATTCTCATTTTTTCTTTATTATATTTATATATTTATTTATTTAATATCGTCTCTCCAATTCTTCTTGAGTTCATCTATCTATTTATCTATTTAATATCGTCTCTCAAATTCTTCTTGAGTTCATCTATCTATTTATCTATTTAATATCGTCTCTCAAATTCTTCTTGAGTTCATCTATCTATTTATTTATTTAATATCGTCTCTCAAATTCTTCTTGAGTTCATCTATCTATTTATTTATTTAATATCGTCTCTCAAATTCTCTTGAGTTCATCTATCTATTTATTTATTTAATATCGTCTCTCAAAAGACATTTCATCTTTAACTTTTTTGACCTTGAACATAGATATAATGTTGACAATCACTCGTCAAACCTGTGGTTTACGCAATTACATCTAATTTTGTACGCATTTTCACGCATTGTTTTCGCCTTCTAATTGATGAGACGGTGTGCGTGATTAATGCGTCGGATCACTAATGTGCTCGAACCAGATATTCCTGTGAAAAGAAGTTTATGCTAAGCATGCATAATTATATATTTACATGAGAACTTTTCTTCAAGTCGTCAACCAGTTGTTTTATCCAGGTCTTATAATTTACCATTTTATTCTACCTGTAAAATTGAATATGTACAAAAAAGTCCCAAAAACAGGATTATCAAAGTTTTTAAACAAAATTTACAAAATTTACATTTGTTTGGATTTCAGGCAAAATAAAACAAAATGTGATAAAATATTTTTTGAGCGTTGAAAAAAAAATCGCGAAACCAAATTTGTTTTTTGAAAATAAAATATTTTAGAAAAATTGTTTACAAACAACAGATTTTTTCCGACAATTTTTCAACCAATTGTCTTTTTTAATTTGGTATTTCAGATTTTTTTTTCAATGTTCCAAAATATTTTATATTTTTTATCTTATTTTATCTTTTTATGCCTAAAATCCGAACAAAATAAAAATTTTGAAAATTTTGTCTAAAACATCGATAATCACTTTTTTTACTCACCCTGTATACATTTTTTTAGACTTTTATGATATTATGCTTTTTCATGTTTGGGCGAAAAAAGTTCCAACTCTTAAACCAAGTGAAATTTTTCTTACTTTGATGGTAATATTAATGGTCTTCTGTCATGAATGCGTAAATATGACTAATAAATCACTTAATTTTGTATGTTTTGTTATTTTTCATAAATAAACGATTACTTACTTACTACATCGTCAATATTAGATCTTTCAACTCTACGAAATGTGACTTGTACTGACTATATACCTCCCCCTTCCCCTTCTTGATGCAGAAATGTGACATGTACTGACTAAGTAATCCCCCCCCCCCCCTTCTTGATGCAGAAATGTGACATGTATTGACTAAGTAATTCCCCCCCCCCTTCTTGATGCAGAAATGTGACATGTATTGACTAAGTAATTCCCCCCCCCCTTCTTGATGCAGAAATGTGACATGTATTGACTAAGTAATTCCCCCCCCCCTTCTTGATGCAGAAATGTGACATGTATTGACTAAGTAATTCCCCCCCCCCCTCCTTCTGGATGCAGAAATGCAAAAGAAGCGTGAATTTAAAATATGCATTGACAGACGGCTCAACAAAACGATTTTTAAAATGTATTTTAATAAAACTTGAACTAATTTGGATTTAGTTGTTCTTTATACGAATGGTGTTAGCGTTGAAAAATGTGGCTAATTTGGCAGATGTTAGTCAAATCCTTTTCTCATCTTATTCTCAATGTCATCCTCATAATATATTTATATACCATAATTCTCTGAGAACATCTTTAAAGATTTGTCTTTTATAAATTGAAATGGTCTTCCTAGTTTTATAATCCCAGTTTTATAATATAATTAAAATAAAAAAAGATGTTATGCATTTATTTTTAACATTTGTTTTATTTAAGCGGCCATTTCTGATATTTCAGAAAACCATTGAAATACAAAAAATATAAATTAATAACAAATTGGATAGATAAATTATTATACCAAATATACAACAATAATTATATTTTGCATGCTTTTAAATTATAAATATACACTTTAAAGTAGGTTAGATGAACACAAAGCAGTTCACTTTAAAGTAGGTTAGATGAACACAAAGCAGTTCACTTTAAAGTAGGTTAGATGAACACAAAGCAGTCCACTTTAAACATTGGGAAAGAAGTCTTTGCCACTGCCTCTGATTTTCTCATACCTTTATCTATGCTACCCAATGTTGTAGACCTGAGATATTTCAAACTGTGAATTCTGTTAGATTAAATAATCTAAGTTTGAAATATCAAAGTTTTATATAATCAGGTTGCAAAGATATAGGGATTAGAAAATTTGAGTTTGTGCCAAAAACTCAATTCCTTTTAAATTTTGCTAATTGTTCAGTTTGCATGCCTTAGCACTGATAAGCCTTTATGCATGTTATTCTCATAAAAGAAAATATACCTTATTTACCTAGTTAACTACAGTGGTAATCAAAAAGTTGTGGTATTGTTGTCGTCTTTGATTTGAGAGTTATAATTGTAACAATTTATTTATTAATAAAAATATTTTTTTAGAAACAAATTAGTTAAAAATTACAAAACACTTAGAGAGTCATTTTATAATTAAAAACATAGATTAATAACAATACAGATAGAACACTAGATGTCGACTTTTCAAGAAAGCATCCGCGTTACTCCTTTGGGCCTCTGACTTAGGATTAATGTGAACTAAAAAACCCTAAAACTTGAAAAGACGACATCTAGTTATCTATCTGTATTGTTATTAATCTATGTTTATAAGAATAGTTTCAGAGCAGATATTTTGTATGATTGTTTATTCAAACGTTTGTCGCAGTTTTCTCATAAAATATTTTATGTTTCTAATTTAAAAAGTATTTTTATTTGTAGGCGTCTCTTAATTTCGACAATACCTATCCTACTCCTACCCCGTATGGAGTTCCTACTCCCTACTCCAGTCCGTCTCCCTACCCACCGACCACGTATAAAGTCAAGAAGGGAGGAAAACCATCCTTTGGATATTTCCCCCCCGCCAACAGGGTCATGCCCAGAGTTAGTCGTAAGTATATGAATTTTTCGAAAAACAAATAAAAATTTTATTTTATTTTTAAATAGTCAAGAATAATATCGAATACGCTAAGCTTACTTTAAAGGAACTGAGTTTTAGCCACAAACTCTGATTTTCTTATCCCTATATCTTTGCATTTCAATGTCGGAGAACTATGAATTATTTTAGATCAAATAATGATAGCTTGAAATATCAAAGGTTTACACCACTAGGTTGCAAAGATATAGCGATTTGAAAATCAGAATTTGTGGCTAAAACTCAGTTCTTTTACGCTGTTAAAAATATGATGAGTAGTTATTATTCTTCTTAAATTCATTTTAATTGTTGTATCTTTACATCTTTGAAATCTGATATCACCTTTGATATTTGCAACTTTTAATTCTGCAATAGACAAAATAGGAAAATTTCAAAAATCAAAAGCTTTCACCATCAGATCGTAAAGATGTTAGAATTAGAAAGTTAAAGTTTCAGACGATAAATCAGTTCCTAGACTGTAAAGCCAAAAATAACTGCAATTACTCAGATTTTAGCTCAAACAATCTTTAAAAAATAGATTAAATTTTACTTTTCAGACATTGAAGCCGAATGCAGAGATGATTTTATGAAGCTAAGAGTTGCTTTCAATGATTCTTTTGCTGGACTCATTTATTCTGCAGGTATAGGGCAAATTATTCTGCAGGTATAGGACAGGACAAAGTATTCTGCAGTTATAGGACAAATTATTCTGCAGTTATAGGACAAAGTATTCTGCAGTTATAGGACAAATTATTCTGCAGTTATAGGACAAATTATTCTGCAGTTATAGGACAAAGTATTCTGCAGTTATAGGACAAATTATTCTGCAGTTATAGGACAAATTATTCTGCAGGTATAGGACAAAGTATTCTGCAGGTATAGGACAAATTACTCTACAGGTATAGGACAAAGTATTCTGCAGGTATAGGACAAATTATTCTGCAGATGTAGGACAAAGTATTCTGCAGGTATAGGACAAAGTATTCTGCAGGTATAGGACAAATTACTCTACAGGTATGGGACAAAGTATTCTGAAGGTATAGGACAAATTACTATGAAGGTATAGGACAAATTATTATGCAGGTATAGGACAAAGTATTCTTTAGGTATAGGACAAAGTACTCTCCAGTATAGGACAACATATTCTGCAAGTATAAGGACAAAGTTTTCTGCAGGTATAGTACAAAGTACTCTACAGGAATAGGACAAAGTATTCAGCAGGTAAAGGACAACATATTCTGCAGGTATAGGACAAAGTATTCAGCAGGTAAAGGACACCATATTCTGCAGGTATAGGACAAAGTATTCAGCAGGTAAAGGACACCATATTCTGCAGGTATAAAACAAAGTACTCTACAGGTATAGGACAAAGTATTCTGCAGGTATCAGACAAAGTACTCTGGAGGTATGGAACAAAGTGCTCTGCAGGTATAGGACAAAGTATTCTACAGTTATAGGACAACAGATATAATTCTGTAGGCCAGGTATAGGACAATATGTTTATTCTATAAGTATAGGACTATATGTTATTATCAGCAAAGTACTTTTTTTAATTATTGTCTAAAAATAGCGTTAAAGAATTTATCCATACCAACTAGATTCTAGTATTAATAGATGGCAACGTAAAATGTGTACACTCTCAGTACAGCTGTATTCTGATGTCACAAGTGTCAATTCAGTTTTTGTGTCCGACAAAATTATTAATAATAGTGATAATTTTAGAATAAATTAAAGTGCTTATCTGACAGTGAAATAAGTGTAATTTTATGTGTTCTTTAGTTTCTTTCTTAACACTTTTTTATTTAATCTTGGAAAACATGTCAACTAATGTGAGAAAATTTCGTTTTCCTTGTTATATTTGACACTTGTGACTTCGTGTATGATTGGTTCATTTCTCTATTGCCACCTATTGTACTTGATTATCTATTGGATAAATACAATTTTAATAAATGGCCAAACAAAAAAGTAAAAGATAGCAAATAAAGCAGTATAGGACGATCATAGATATACAAGAATTATTTTATATCTATGAGGACGATATATGTACAGGGGCGTACTAGGGCTTTTGTTTAGGGGGGGGCACAATTTTTGGTCCCCCCCCTTGGCAACATTGTGAAGCCTCGGTTGAACTAGTTTTTCTATAATTTTAAAAGTTTTCATACTTTTAAAAAGTACCAAAATACTGTAAAGGAATTGAGCCCTTGCCACAAACTCAAAATTTCGAATCCCTAAATCTTGCAACCTGATGGGGTAAACCTTTGAATCTTAGATTATTGTATTTAACATACCTCATAGTTTGACATATCTAAGGTCTACAACTTTAGGATGCAAAAGTATAGGGATGAGAAAATTAGAGTTTGTGGCAAAGACTCAACTCCTTTTTGAACGTTTCAACATTTCAAAACTGTACTAAAATATAAACAAAAATAAACACCAAAAACAAGTGTTCTGAGGCTGAATTTGAAGAATTTGAGCCGCGCGGCTTAAATTTGAGACGCAGTGGCTTGTTCTACTTAAAATTATATTCTCAAGATTTAATAAGGCGTTCAATTCAAAATTTTTTAATCTAAAATTGTCATATGTTTCGGAAACAAACTTTTAGAATAAACATTTTTAATTTACAAAACATTTCAAACTTTTTAATTTATAAAAACCTTAACAGTTTTTATAACGAACCAAGTTCTTGGAACGTATTTAAATCAGCTTCTACAGGTTAGGATTAAATATAGTGCTAACAAAATAAAAACAAATAATAATGATCGGTATTAGGTGTTAGAATATCTAATGTACTTGCCCTATAATTAAATATAATTACAATATAAATATTTGTAATCGGAAAATAATTATATCACAAGCTTGTGATATGTAAATTTTTTAAAAATGTGAAAAGTAAAATCATCCGATGTGAAATTTACCTCCCCTCCAGTATTCTNTTATTTTTTTAAATAATTTGTGCGTTTTTTGGCTATAAAGAATTTTGCTGATTTCGCGGATTTAGTTGGAGAATTTTATAAAAATAAGTTGTATGATAAATCATTTATTTTAATTTGAATTTACAAGATTAAAATATAAATCAAAAAGTATTAAAACCCAATTTTTAAAGGGATATTAAGATTAAATTAAGCTGAATGACACTCCATCCAATGACAATGGCCGATTTAAAACGATTTTAATCTTGACCTAAACAATAAAATGGAAGATATTGTAGTTTTTCTAGGTTCAAAATAATTTGATTCTGATAAGTCCCTTTAGTAGAAATGCGCAAATCACCTGTGTAGTGAACCCGCAATTTAAAAAAAAGCGATTTCATAATTTCAAATTAAATAAAAAATAATCGTTCACCGTAAATGTTAAGGTTACACCCATGACAATGATTGTATGTACATCAATGGTACGGGATCTAATGTGTACGAGTTCTATATACAACTGAACAGGTAGAACTTTTCTAAATTATAATTTTAAAGTTGAAAATAAAAATTTAACATTAATTTTTGTTAGATGCGGAACACTGGGTGGCTCAGATCATCATAAGAGAGACGTGGCCAATAAACAAACAACGGTATGTACAAAATAAACTTTTTTAACATTAAAACTGAATATTTTTATTTTCAGAAAAACTTTATGTGGAACACAGTTACAATACAGTATAACCCAATGATTGAAGAGGAGTGGGATGAACATTTTAAAGTAAGTTTTATCTATTTATATTATAACAAGACAATCGTATATGTGTTCCCTTTAATATTTACAAAAGTGTTGACAATATATGATATTTAGGTAACATGTGAATACGGATACGATTTTTGGAAAACTGTCACTTTTCCATTCCTGGAGGTTGAGTAAGTATCTATAACTTTAATAAGAAGTATCTTTCTTATATTTTTCATTTTCTTGAATATTCTGTCTCTATACTTGATTATTTTATATCTCTGTTTTATTTCTAAAGTCGTCTTCTTTCTCTATATTTCATGATTTTAAATATCGCCTTCTTTCTCTATCTTTCTGATTTATATGACTAATTCTAATTGTGGATTTCTAATCCTACCGCTTGGCGCATTTCAGCCGAGAGATCGAACTGGAGATAGATGAATCCCGACCTAGCCCTCCTCTTTAACATCAACCGTTGTACAACACGTTCAACTTTTATGTACAATACAGTCTTAAACTTTGTACAATGTTTTCAAATGTGTACCGTGTACGGGTGTTATTGAATGCAAGTCTGGTGTTTCATTAAAAATGAACCTGTTCTTTTGATTAAAGGAATTGTCAGCGTAATTTCAATTGACCCTTTATTTAAGTAGAGTGGCACGTCCAAATCACAACGGTACTCTTTAAACCTTTTCTAATCAAGGATAGAAAAGATATTCTTATTTTTTTACCTGCAAATATTTTTCAATTTTGGCTTCTCTGTTGCAGATTTACGCTTTAAAAACAATATAGAAAGTTTTCAGAATTAAACACTTATACAAAAAATGAATTATATCTTGCCCATTTTTACTCAGATTCAGGATTAAAGATGTCCGTTGTGAATAATACATGGTAGTCTATAAACGGAGGTGACCTTAAAATTACGTCTCTGCAGTCCCTAATGAAGTTAAATCACTTGTTTTAAGAACAGTACACTGTACACTGTACTGTTCTTAGTTCGCAATGCACAATAAATAAGAATTTTATTAAAAGAAAAGAATTTAAATGTTTTAAGTTGTACAAAAAATAGTTTTCAAAAAGCTTTTTAAAGTAAACTAGTAATTTAAATGCTGAACAAATTTAATTAATTTTTTTGACAAAATATTTTGTAATTTTACACTGTGCAGTTCCATAATATTTTCTGCTAAAGGCCTTTAATGCTCAACATTTACATTTATTCTTTCAATACACTTATATTCATTTGTTTAGTAGCCCACTACAGGGTGTCCCAATAAACATGGGAATTGAGAGACGACTTGAATATCGTCTTTGAACTCGATAATTAATAAATGACATAAAGTACATAAAAAAAAAATGTTAAACTTCTAATAAGCTTTCCAAGATGTGGCCTACTTTCTTTATATATTTTTAATATTGACGGAGATATTAAATATATTTGAACAGTTTTGTTGATTTTTAATTAACTGGAATCTGGACAAATTTCCTAATATCTCCGTCAATTTTGAAGGTGAAAAAATGGTAGACCACATTTTGGAAATCCCAAGACTAGCAGTTTATAGTGTTTAATGTTTCAACTATGATACACAATTATGTTTACGAAATAATCCCGCTTGGAACACCCTGTATAGTTCTGAAATTGTATTAACCCGGTTATCGTAATGTTTGATTTTGACAAAATACACATTCTTCCATCATCTATCCTTGTATTTTCACTGCAGTAGAAATTAACCCCTTCACTTTCTATCATAGTGGATTCAAGGTAAGTTTTTTATAGAAAAATTCATTTATTACTTTTTTTAAAATGACTTAATATTCGCCACTTTTCAAATGACATGATATTCGCCACTTTTCGCCAGTACATTACTATTAGTCAAGGTTGAATAATAAGATTGGTTAATTTCGTAGCGCTCCAATGTACGGAAAATGTCGTCTCCTAAGATTGTTCTTACATTGGAGCGCATCGAGATTAACCAACCAAAAAATTTTTTAAAAAAATAAGAATTCGGATAAAAAATACTAGAAGAAAGGATATATATACTTTTCTAATGCTTTTCGACTTTTTTGTATTTTGATTGATTATGTTTAGTAAAAATGTTCTTCCTACTGTTTAGGACCAATACAGTGCTGTACATAAATACATGTTTAGGACCAATACAGTACTGTACAAAAATACATGTTTAGGACCAATACAGCAGATCCTGTTGTGTTCACTTTAACCCCACCAGAATGTTTTATGGAGATAAGGAATGGATATGGATTAACAGGTAGAATGGATACATGCAGTTCAATTTTAATAAAGGAAAACATCGGAAATTTTTTAAAATGTCGTCTTGAATTATTAAAATGTCGTCTTGAATTATTAAAATGTCGTCTTGAATTATTAAAATGTCGTCTTGAATTATAAAAATGTCGTCTTGAATTATATAAACATGAAGGGCTTTACACGCAAATTAGCGCCCAATAATATAAAGCTGTTTAATAACATATTACACGTATTTCAGGCATATTTATGTATCTTTATAAAAAATTTATATAGAAAATTTTCTCTATCTATAAAGTTTCAACACATGCATTTTCATAATGATTTAGTATATTACACATATCCTTTCTAAAGTAACAACAATACAATTCAGATATTTATCTGAGTTACAATGAGTAAGATATATCGCAATTTTCATCTTGAGAATAGATTCTGGCAATTTTTGTTCCTTGCCACTGGTGCATAATGCCACAAGTCACTTTACATTGCAATGCCAAATTTTTAGGACGTAACATTTTCTAGATTTTAGTGAAGCATCTTAAATTAAAAGCTGGAATATTGTATTTCTATTGAGATGAAAATATAAAGAATTCTTTTTAATCTAAAATACTCCAATTTAGAAAGAATATATTTGATTTTTTAGCATAAACAAACAAAATTAATTTAACGTACGTATGTACACTATGTACTGCACAGGTACCCGAGTATCCGGCCCTGTACATGTAGGAGACCCTGTAACCCTCCTGATCTACATGCGCTCCCAGTGGGATGGGTTCGACATGGTAGTCAATGATTGTGTGGCGCACAACGGAGCCAACAAGAGGATCCAGCTTATCGATCATAATGGGTAAGTGATTAGAATTTGACAGGGGGCGGAAACGTCATGAATGTGGGTCTGTACCAAGTGTGTGTAAGTAATACCGAACCGAAGGTGTGTACTGTAGGTATAGTACATAAGAATCTTGGTATTTGTACAGTTTAGGAGAGTACATTTGTTTATTGTTAATTGTTTACTTAAAAATAAGTTTAATATACATTTAATATATTACTTATATTTAAGTCATCACTATAAGCCAAACTTTCATACTTAAATTGAATATCATATAATTAATACAATAAACTACTCGTTATTCAAGCTTAATTATAATTGACAACATTGTTCTGCAATTTCCTTGACTGTAGTCATGCTGTGTGTCTGTACCAAAAGAGTGTGCTTGTGTAAAAACGAACTCGTCTGCAAAGCAGTGCGACTGGCCTTCTCATGCCAGACCAGCACCATTTCCTTTCCCTTTATTCTTATTCCCTGGAATTTGATCTGAATACATACTAGTGTTATTCAGCATACATATTAGTGCGAAAATGTGCGATAACATATTTCTAAAATTTCTTTTCTAGCGGAGGGATTTATTTTTTTTGATTTTAAACAAAAAAAAACATCTATTTAAGCCTAGAGAATACTTATAGTGTTATACAACATACATAACTTTGGAATATTTCTGAAACTTTTATAATGGAGGGAAAGTTTTTCTATGCTTTTACATTGAAAAACATCCATGTACTGGCAAGAATTAGAGCCTATATTTGTTTACTTAAAAACAAGTACGCAATAATTCAATAATAACTACAAAGTTGTTTACGCTTGTTTCAACCAATTTTTGAAATGGAAAGAAAAATTTGTCTGCAGTTGGTTTTACATCCCCGCCTCGTTTTAACAATTTGATGGTATCTTCAGAAATTAAATTCCATAATATAGATATTGAGTATTGAGTGCTATCACAAAAAAAATTTTCGTCAATTTTGAATTGCTTGATTGATTTGTTGCTTGATTAATTGATTATTTCTATTTAAGATTGCTTGATCGATTTGTTACTTGATTGATTGATTGATTATTTCTATTTTAGATTGCTTGATCGATTTGTTGCTTGATTGATTGATTATTTCTATTTTAGATTGTTTGATCGATTTGTTGCTTGATTGATTGATTATTTCTATTTTAGATGTCCAGTTGACGAAAAATTGATTGCGAAGTTTCAGGGTACTTGGGCACATCAGGACTCAATGTACGAAACTGTTATCTACGCAAACATGAAAACTTTTAGGAAACTAATTCATTAACAAAATAATTATTAACATTTAATAATTGATTGATTGATAATTGACGAATTCGATATCGTCTTTTTTAGTAGTTCTTTGATTTAGTATAGTGATACCTAATGAGAAAGCTGTTACCTGTAAGAGTTTCGTCTGCTATGTTTACAATTTGTTTATTTACGTTTTGACTACATACAGTTGAACTTAAAACAAAAAGAAAACTACAGTTTACAAAAGAGTAAACTTGTCTGTCATCACTGTTCATCTTGCGGAGACATTATAGACACATCTTACAGCCGTTAACCGTTTTCATTAAATAAACTCTAGCAGACATAATAATATTATGGCTTTTGAAATTATATTATTGTTGATGAACAAATTTCAACATTATTGAGCATCAATGAATAAATATAAAAATAAATGAATTCTAAGATGATTATTAATAAATGAATTGGATGAATATAGGTTTACTGGAACCCCAGCTCTCTATATAGAATGTGATATACGAATGTGCCACGGTTCCTGTCCGGTAAACACCTTTGCTTACTAAATTGTATTCGTTGCTAACATTTTGTTTCAACACCATAATCTTATTGTATTTGTAGACTCCCTCTTGTAACTGGAGAGATGGATTACAGAAAGTTCGAAAAAGAAGGAGTGCTGACAACTCCACCATGTCTGACGAGGACCAAGAGGACGACTATGAAGAGGGTGAAGAGGATGATGAGGAGAAGGACCAGAGGAAGACGACAACAGTTCCTCCAGGAACTTTAGGGGAGAAACCGTTTTCTGAATCTCTCAGTCTTTTTCAATCATTACAGGTAAAATTTGACTGTTTATTTATCCAATCATAACTCAGGAACCCCAGAACAATTTGCCTCAAATTTTGATCATGGAACATGGTATAACCACGGGAATGTTCTTTGCTTGATTAAAAAATTCTAACAAGGTGGGTGGTTAGACTCAATAGCAAAAATGAAAAATGTTTGATCAAGAACCAAAATACTATTAATTTTCGCCATTAACTTATTTAATTTTTAACCAATTTTAATGTTTTAAACGTTTTTTAATTCAGTGTTTCAAGACAGATTTTTAGGCAATATTTTCTTTACTGTCGAAGGAAACCGTTGTGAATTAGAATTAAAATTCGATTTTAAAAAGGTTTTGAGAGTTTTTAATAATATTATTGATTAATAAAGCCATGTTAAAAACAACAAAGTATAATTTTATTTTATTTAAATTTAGGTTTTAGCTAATGAGGAAGATGAAAAAGCTTTCAGAAATCAAACTTTAAAAGGTAAGGGGGGAAACATTTAATTCATTTTTTAAAGAAATACTTCATTTTTTTGGTCAATAACAAATACTTGACATTTTTTGTGCAATAGGGAAAACTTTACACTTTAAAGCCGAGGCTTTCTAAAATATGATGACTAACTTTCAGAGATGTCTATATTTTAATGTACTACCATTTTAAAGATATTCTTTTAGCTTTGGACCGAAATGAAATGAAAATGAAACTTTTATTTTTTTCGTGACTTTTCATTTGGGCTTATCTTTGTAATATAGGGCTTTAAGCTATTTGTTATTGTATATATATATGTTAATTCTATAGCAGGCCACACGACAGAACCAAAATGGCTGAATTTTTTTGAGGGAACCCAAAGGTGCNATATATATATGTCAGCTATAGCTGGCCAAACGGCTGGACCAAAATGGCTGAATTTTTTTGTGGGAACCCAAAGGTGTCCGGGGGTAACATGGGTTAAAAAATAGGAATCTTATTTAAATTCTATTTTTTCTAAAGTTCTACGGGCAACGCCGAGCACTTCAGCTAAATATATAATTGATTAACTATCTATTTTGTATCAGGTGTACCTCTGTCAGAAGGAGAGGTCTGTCTATCTACACTAATATTTACCACACTGTGTGGTGGGGTGTCAGCCATACTTCTATATTTACCACACTGTGTGGTGGGGTGTCAGCCATACTTCTTCTTTCAGGTAATATTTACCACACTGTGTGGTGGGGTGTCAGCCATACTTCTCCTTTCAGGTAATATTTACCACACTGTGTGGTGGGGTGTCAGCCATACTTCTTCTTTCAGGTAATATTTACCATTCTGTGTGGTGGGGTGTCAGCCATACTTCTTTCAGGTAATATTTACCACACTTTGTGGTTGGGTGACAGCCATACTTCTTTCAGGTAATATTTACCACACTATGTGGTTGGGTGACAGCCATACTTCTTTCAGGTAATATTTACCATCCTGTGTGGTTTGGTGTCAGCCATACTTATTTCAGGTAATATTTACCACACTTTGTGGCATAGTGTAAACCTATAATAAATAACATTGAAAGAAAATAACTGAATGAAGAAAAAAATAACACATTTTTTATGCAGATTGAACTACACAGAGACAATCTAAACCACTATTTTATTGGCAGGTTGAAGTTAAGGAGAAGTGGTTTAACTAACTCTACTAGTTCAAATTCTTCTTGTTTTTTGTAAAATTTGGTCAAAAGACATTTTTTTCAAAAAAATAGGCAATTAGTTTTCT